CCCCACAAGCTCTTAAGAGGTCAAGTGTCTAAATGGAACCACTAGTTGGTGAGGCCTGAAGAACATGGCGATGTATTTGGTGCATCTCTAGAGATTCTTGAAAATGGAGGGAAGGGACTCCATAAAAAAGAAAGGCCATCTTACTCATCAGCAAATGGGGAAACGGCCTTGAGAGGCGGTATCTTTCCTTTAAATATGACCTACTTGATCTGTTTCTATGAACCTGTTTGCCAGAACTCATGTGTGTGGGTATCCTCAAAAGAATCCTGAAAAGTAATATCTCTATTTCACAGGGTACAAATTCAGACAGGGTTGGCCCCTTGTCCAAATGCTTATGAATAGTAGAGCCAGTCGTAAACCCAGGTCTACTTGATTCCAAAGCACATACCATGTGGCTAAAAATTCTAAGGCATTGGTAGGAAAATTTTTCAAATACACACAAAAAGTACACAGGATAGAAAAATTAATGCTTGTGTATCCATCACACAGATGCAACGATTATCACCTATGACCAATCTTGTTTCAAATTCTCACCCACTAAACCTACCCCTGCGTGGGTTTGAAGCAAATAACATTGGATCCATAAAGATTTCAGGATGACTCTGTAAGAGTGAAAAGTGGAAATAATTTATTTCCTTCTTTTCCAAGCTATACCAAATGATCCCACATAAATTAATTCATCAGGTAGAGACGTTTCCTCAAGCATGTTTTCTTCAAAAATGTCCCAAAATGGGATCCAGATTATTTCACAATGAGATGTTCTCATTTATTTTAGAGTCCTTTGCTCTCTTGAAGCCCACCTTTAAAATGCTGACGTTTACTTTTTCTTACCTTGTACATTCTGAAAAAGGTGCCGGAATACAAGTTCCTCTGTGAATGTGGAGAAGGAATGAAAGGCAAGGTCTAGCACTTAAGAGTGCCAGCCCCAAGAAGGGAGTCACAGAGTATATTATATTACACTTAATATAATGATATATATTTATATATAAATATCATAATTAATGTAAAATAATATTTATATTAAGCATAATATACTAATATAATTATATAGTATAATATATAATACTATAGATAATATATATTATGTATAATCTAATATATATTATCTAACATATAATATATATTATATTCTTATGACATATTATACATAGATATATAATGTATTGCATATCTACAATATATTGTATATTGGTAGGAAAATTTTCAAATAAACACAAAAAGTACACAGGATAGAAAAATTAATAATATATATGTAATATATATTATATATAATTTTTATATATAATTTATATATAACTTATATATAATTTTAATATATAATTTATATATAACTTATATATAACATATTTTATATATATATATATGAAAAATCACAGAGTATTTGGGATGGTG